GTACTTCTGCCTCTGGCGAGAGGGAAGAGAAGACAAGTGGGGCATCAGGGAGGTATGGCGCATAACTAATATGGCGAGTTTCAGAAATCGGCTTGAGAAATTTCTCTAAGGCTCAAGGAGAAAAACTACCCCCACTACTTGCCAAAATTCATACTTAGCCAATTTCTGGAAAAAATTCCATCTTAGGAAACTAATAAGGAAAGCAAAGCAGAAATATGAGGAGACAATCTTAAAAGTAATAGCACAATGTGAAGTAATCTGCACATAACTCAAAAAAAAAGAAATTTGACATGGTGAAATGGAGCCCAAAGGCTGAATCTAGTTGTAGAGATGGGAAAGAGTGTAGACAGCTTAAGTGATCAGCAAGTTGCATGGTGGGCTGGTCAGAAGATCTGCGCTGGTGTTTTTTGAGAGTTTGTCCCAGTTATTTTAGGAGTTGTTAGACCCTTCACCCTCACAACCCTCACAAACCCATCCCTGCCTCACTACCATCCCCTCAGTAACATTCCTGTTTCTGCTCCTATGTCTTCTGTTCTTATAGACATGAGGGCAGGATTTCTTCATTTAAAAAACATATTTAAAAGTTCCAACAAGTCTTCCTGACTCCTCAACAAGCATCCCTTGGGATGAGGTAGGTGGACAAAGCATAATGTTATCAACAGATCACACTGGCGCAGAGAAGTAAGAAAGTTGGTGGCATTGTTGAATGCCAGGTCAATTTCAGAATGATTTTGTTACATTTGAGATAATTCTAGAACTTAAAGAAGGACATCCAGAATGAGTGATGCACATCATTCTTTGCTGCATTAAGAAATTTACAATTCTCTCATTAGCATCACCTTGTATCTCCTTCTTTGATTGGTTGGCCATTCTATATATTTTTTTTCATTACTATTCATTTCCAAGAGTAAAATGATGTTGCATATTTGAGAACCTCATGTGGTGGAAGATCTGCGCAATATTAGGATTCCAGTAGTATGTTCTGTTACTTTCTTCATTGAAAGATTCTGCCTGTGAAACTGGAAAACAATGTGATCTTCCTCCTGGGTTGGGGGTCCCTCTGACTGCCCCAGCCTAGGGGCAATCAGAGGCACTGATGGATTAATGACATTATCTATGAAAGCCAGCTCTTTGTTCTTGCCTCTGACTCCCCTCTCTCTACAGTGAGAAACCGATTTAAAGCACTTAACCTGTGATAGGGTTGGATACTCGTCCTTTCTTGTCCTTCAGCTCTTGAACCGTTTGGTTGGGAGAGACTATATGTTAGTTACCACCAAACACACTTGCACCTACGCTTAAGAAGAAGAGAATTTGCCCCCATAAGTTCTGCCTGCGATACTTTTCTTTTCAATCAAATCAGCCCAGGGAGGTTCCTTAATTTAAAACCACTAAGTGACATTTGCCTATGCTGCTGGTTACAAACCAATTGGATATTAATGAGTAACTGAACAGTCTTATGCACCACCAGACAAATGACTGCAGGTATGGGTCCTGAGACTGCTCAAGCCCAATAAATGTAAAAATCATGATTATATTGTATATCTTGCATATACAGAGAAAGACGTCTATTATTTACTTGATTCATTTATGTGCAATGAAGCTGAATGATGTGCATCTTCCCTCAGCTAGCCAGTTGTGGAGATCTGGCAGTGCCTCCAAGATCCTTTTCCTGATTGTAAACTGACTTGATGTATACAAGGTTTGATGTCCTTTCAGTAGATATATCCCTCTGCTTGATCCTTCGGTTGCTCCTCCCCAGGCCAGCTGGTCTCACTTGAGTGCATTGATGTAAATTTGGAGTTTTGCTAGTTCACATGATCTTCTTTTCTTCTTTCTTCATTCTGGATGGTCATTCATGAAATTATCAATGGGTGTTTAAGCATTTCAATTGGCAACATTTAAAGTTTTATTTCTTTGACTACAAAGATGGTGATTCCCAACTGAGAGAAAATGGGGCAGCCTATTTTTAGAGTACTATTTCCAGCAACATCCCCACTCCCAAACAATTTGGAGTAAGCATATAATATCTGAAAGGGGACTTTCCCAGCACAGATATTTGTTGACCTATATGCATCTGTTGCCTGTGTGCAGGTTCATCACAAGGAACAATCAGCTTTGCCCCAATCTCCATTGCCAAAGCCCATAGGCAAATGGACTCTGGCAGAAGACTGTGCATGACTTTAATAGTAGGAATCTTGATGCTGCATCACTGCCCTCATGATCTGATGGGTTGACGATCTGATTTTGGTAATGATTCAAAACATATAGACTAAGATCAACTTGTTATTGCAGTCTTCTTCCAGCTTTGCAGATGGTAAGATGCCGAGTATTCTTTCACTTGTTCTGCCATTGAGAACTTTTTGGACCACACTTTGTCTGCACTTCTCTCTCCCCAGTCCTGAATCTTGTCACCAGGGTGACCCTATCAGGAGTAAGAAGCCAAGCTCCTATCTGCATACTTCAAGGAATTGTTGAAGCACACAAGCCTCTCCACTGTGTCAAAGGTGGTGAATTAGGAATACGTATCATTGAATGGGACACTATACCAGACAAAATGCCAGATTTAATCTTTGGTGTTTATTAACATGTTTCTTGTAACAAGTGTGCATGCTTGAACCATACAGGGAGAAGTAATAATCCTGATTGTTATATTGCACACATACATGATCATGAGGTGAAAGGACTGAGTTTGGTTATAATGTCCCTCACCTTTACAAGTGGGTCAACCCAGTCAACACCCATACATCAACGATGGCGTTTACACAAAGTTCTGGGAGTTACCAGTGCTATTTGAATGATTCAGTGCCTTCAAAAACAGGAAGGGAGAAAATTGTTGGGAACACCAGTCAATGAAAAAATATAACATTTATACCTCATCTTTCACATGACAGCTGCTCAAACTGAAATTTCATGTAAGATTACTGAGGTAATGGTAAATGGCAAGGTAAATGAGGTTATTTTCTTAAGAAATTGTTAAAGGCTAAATGATTTCGATACCAAAACTCAGATTTTACTTTTTGGTAGGCACTTCGGGGAAAGTCAGTACTTCATAGCAAGGGGAAAGGAGGAGGAAGGTGCATGGAGGAAATGTTAATTGGTCCATTGATCATTTCTGAATATTGAAATATGTCCAAGGCAGCCTGTGAGACTAACATTTCCTCATCTGCTTCATCTAACATCTTTTATTTTCTAAGTTTAACTAGTTGCAAACTCTTCCCTGGAATCAAAAACTTGAGGATAACTAAGGTCACCAGGGAGATAAAAGAAAAAAAATACAGAAGTGTTTTGCTAAGCTATTATTTGAATTCAATTTTTGACCCAATTCTTTTTCATATGTGTAGTAAAGATATCAAACAGGAAGAATAGATTTAAAATGGTTGTGCTGAAAGAACTTGCCCCCAAATCCTTAACACAGACCCATTACTTGTTTAGCACTATTGGAACACTATTGCCTAATTTTATAATATTCTCATTCCTGCGATGTTCTTGTATAATTTATACAAATTTTACCATTGATACTAATTTATCAGATTAAACAGAGAAACTGTGATTGTGACAAAAGTAGGCTACTCCACACTGGAAAAGTTCAAAGACAATTAATTATTTTAGATAAGTACACATTGTAATGGCTTAATTGATGAATTGCAACTAAAAATATTCAGCAATTTCTCCTCTTTAGGTGCTGACTGACATGTTGGACATATCAGTATTTAATGGGACTAATTTGAGCATTTTTTTCTCCAATGCCTCAACCTAAAAGAGTGAAAGTGTGTTTGATTTTTCTATTTTTTTTCTCTTTAAAAAACTATTTCTACCAACAACGCGTATTTACATGACATCGTGAATAGAATAAAATGCCCCGAGGTACTACACAGAACGTCATCAGGCAGGCATGTATGATCTGAGTCTCTGTGAATCTCTGAATGGGACTGGCCAGAACGTTTGACCCTGACTCTACTGAGGCAAGATTGTAGGAAAATCTCTGAGGAATATAAAGGGAAACGACCCAAATTGAAGTCACACTGCTGGTTTTATCCAGCTATCATTCAGACTATTCCACTTAGAGTGGGGCTCCATCAACTCATACTCAAGATGTGAAAACTTCATTTCCCGGTGAAACATTTCAGAGATCTGCACACAACTAAGAGGTATGTCCACTTATTTGTAACATGAAAGAGATTCAATCGAAACTTCTTTAAACTGCCCAAGAAATTTAACAGACTACTTGCGCGGTTGTAAATTTTTCAATGCCTTACTACATAAAGTTTTACATCAGTTACCAATGTAAACTTAGGCCGCTACCTTTAGATTCATACACACCTGAACTCGCTTTACAGCAACATAAAAATCAGAATCGAACTGCAATAATAGTTAAATAATAGCTTAGCAAAACACTTTTGTATTTTTTTTCTTTTATCTCCCTGGTGACCTTAGTTATCCTCAATGTTTTTGATTCCAGGGAAGAGTTTGCAACTAGTTAAACTTAGAAAATAAAAGATATTAGATGAAGCAAATGAGGAAATGTTAGTCTCACAGGCTGCCTTGGACATATTTCAATATTCAGAAATGATCAATGGACCGATTAACATTTCCTCCACGCACCTTCCTCCTCCTCTCCCCAGTCATCTCTCCTTGCTTTGAAGTACTGACTTTCCCCGAATTGCCTGCCAAAATGTAAAATCTGAGTTTTGGTATCTAAATCATTTAGCCTTTAACAATTTGTTAAGAAATTAGACTTTAAATAGATATAATTCCCGCAAAATCCTCTGATATTTCCTGACAGAAACAGATTGAATATCTCGAAGAGGGAGAATTACCTCTTGTTAGGCGAATGCTAAACTTGTTTATAAGCAACCAGGTTACGATCTCATTGAATATCACACACAAAGGAAATCTTCCACCTATCACAATGTCAAACTGGAAATATATTTCTAATGTTTGCTTTCTTTTAAGTCATTTGCTCAAGAACACCTCATTTTGAAGCGGGAAGTCTTTCTTACCTTTTATTTTCCTCCGAGAGAAAGATTGATTCGGTTTAAATCAAAGCTGTTCTTGCCCCGTGTGAGAATCGCTGGCAAGTTTCGAGTCCAGCCCAGTCGGGTAAAATACTTCCTCCTGTGTTCCACAGTCACTGAGAGAGACTTCAGGCAGGTGCAGGCACCGCCAACCAGCCCCAGGTTAAAACTGCGGGATTCCTGAAACCGAACCCGCTGAGAGAGTGCAGGGGAGGGTGGTCAGCTACATCCTGCAGAGATATGCAAAATATTCAAAAACCTCAACATCAGCACTGATGGCAGTGCGTGTGAGTGAACTGAAGGAAAGATATTCACAAAGATCGCCAAATTCCCATTCTTTTATAGAAATTCATGCCATTACTAAGGCGCTGTCTTATAACACAAAGACGGCAGAAGAATGTTTTATAGTGAGACGGATTCTGAGATTGAACAGTGTTAGTGACTGCATTTCCGCAGGCAGACACGTCACTGCCACCTTTTCAAATGTGAATTGGAGCCCAACCCAACATCGTGTCCGGACAGTGAAGGCCAGTTTGATTCGAAATCTTTAAAATACTGGCCCTTTCCAAACGTTTAGTGACATCAACAGCAGCTGTCGTGGGGGACAGGGGGACAGAGGGACAGGGCAGGTCGCTGACACACTGTTCACCAGATGACAGCAGTTCATGTTTCCTAAACAGGCTGACCAGCAGTTAGAAAGACTTTTGGAATTTGTGAAACTGCCTGGATTTTGGGAGCTCCAGGGAATTATATATGACGACCTATAACAATACTATAAATATTATGATTTGACTTTATTTTTATTGTGCATTGAATTAGGGAAAAGACTATTTCACAACAAAGTATTGATAAAGAAATTGCTGTACTTTTAAAAAACAAGTTACTGAAACTCGTTTACACTTGTTATGCGAGCAGTGGGAGAAGGGGTGTAAATAGATGGCATGACTCTGGGATGTGTGTGCAAGTGAAATTAGTCTGGTTATTGGTTTGGGCAGTTGTGACCAATCATGGGTGCCAAATGCCTGATGACAAGTCTCTGATTGATTCATGAGTAGCCAACAGCTTGTGGGTGTGAATGATACAGGCATCTCTGGAAAGGGAGTTGGTGTCCCTCTCTCTCTCAACTAAAAGATCTGAACCTAAAGAATATTGGTTGTTTACTCTCACCAGTTGCTGTAAGCTTTTGATTTTAATCAATAAGTCACAGCCTTCATAATTTGTGAATCAGTCACTCTGTATCTCCTGTGTAGAAAGAACCCAAAGCAAAATCTCAGTGAACTAAATGACTCGGGAAACAAAAGAAATCCCTCCATCGAATCCTGGGGACTTGTGCCTCTGAAATGTTTACCTACTATTTTTCTCCTCTTCATGCATAACACCTTTTTTTTGTCTGTGTATGTCTGTGTGCATGTTGGGAGCGGTATTTAAACATGGATCAGAATTTTAACCGGTAGAGTTACATGTTGGCAACTCATAGCTGTTTACTAATGGTTAGAATCTATTTATTTGAAATAAATAGTTATTGTTAGGCACAGAAAATTGGTCTATGTTTTCTGTTAACCTGAGTTGACTGGGGTCTTGCATAATTTTATAAAATTTTTAACATTTGTAACAACTCCAAGAATAGCAGGGATTGCTCTCCAGCACGCTACCCTATACAGGTGCAACAATAAACTGCATCCATGTAGCCTGTGTTTTTCCCATCAGGAGCCATATTTCTGTTTTAACTGGATGGGCATTCATATGTTTGATGTACTAATAGTGACTGTAACAGAGGGTCATGCAGGTCTAAACCTGGATTCCTGACAGTCTTAATGTATAAATAATATACTCATTCTCAATTCCTGTTCTGTTCCACCCAGACTGTTAGGTAGCAGGTTTAGTTGAAAGGGATGAGAGGTAACCCCTCACCAACTATCTGAAGAACCCCAGCTACTTTCATCAATATTGTTTCCTTGTACTATTCAGGTTGACGTCCAACTGAATCAAATTCTGGGAAATTCATTTGGATACTAGGATTTGAATTTGTTTTGTGATCAATCCAAGGAGATTTTCTAGCAGCTTTGCATACAACAAGAAAACACAAGTTTAATAAAATTATAATTCTAATATTTCACAAGGCATTAGAGGTAATGTACAAAAGGAAATCTTTTCCTGCAAGCAAATAACCAACTGAATTTAACCACAAACCGCATTATTCTTGGAGGTCACCAAGTCACCAGTTCCATCATTTTTGACCTTAAGTAGCAACCATGATGACTCAGCATTTATTCTATAAAATTAGGATTGCCATTGATTTTAAAGAGGAACAACAATTTGATAATTAACTTAAATACTGTTTCAGCAAGGGCAACAGTTGAGCAGTGCAAATGGAACGAAAATCTTGGCATGAATTAAATCAGAATAAGATCATAATTCCCTGGAACCTGTTTTCTAGAATAGCAATGATTATGGCATGAGTGTTTGTGGAATTCAATGGTAGTATGTATCACAGGACGGGAAAATGTCCAAATCAATATTTCATTTGATGACAGGAGACAGAGATAACCCAGTGGTTTCAGGTTGCTTAGTGTAAATAGAGAAATTTTTTAAATTTCTAAATGATGAAAAATTCCCCAGATGAAGGCAACATAATTGAACATGAGTATATTGTGTATGCATTCACTGTTGATTCCATGAATAATGGAATGGTAAACCCTGCGAACTTGCCCATAGTATGAGTACCATCACTACATATTTTACAGCAGTTTATGAAGAAGTCCACCATCACATGCAAGTTTGAGCAATAAGTACAGGCCTTGCCTATGATACTCATCCCAAAATTAAGTGTATTAAAAAATTTCATCAAACAGAGAATAAATGATTGTGCCAATGTATTAACCAAAACACTGCCAAATTACATTTTTAAAAGAACATCTCACTAATGCTTGCTAGAAGCTTAATATATTGATATGGAAGGCCTTGACCTGTGCAGGCACAAGGAACATATCCTTGAGTTATTCATTTTCTGAATGAAACAGAATCATGGAGGGTTACTGGGAGGTTGTCAATGTCTTCCTGGTGCATCCTCCATGTCAATGCTTTGATCACTCAGGAGCCTTTTCAAACAAATTATATTTTGTAACTCCCTTTGAAAATTAGCATTCTTGTGTCTGTCCCGAAAAGTTTCTTTTTATTCATTGGATGTGGAAATCACTGGCTATCCAGAATTTAGTGCCCATTCCTAGTTGCCTTTGAGAAAATGGTGGTGAGCTGCCTTCTTGAACTGCTGCAGTCTATGTGCTGTAGTTGACCCATAATGCCCTTAGGGTGGGAAATCCAGGATTTGACTTAGCAACAATGAAGGAACAATTACATATTTCCAAGTCAGGGTGGTGATTTGCTTGGAGTGGAATGTGCAGGTGATAGTGTTCCCATGTGTCTACTGGCTTTGTTCTTCTGTATGCAAGTGGTCATGGGTTTAGATGATCCTGTCTATGATAATTTCTGCAGTGCATCTTGAAGATAGTGCACACTGCTACTGCTGAGGGTCAGAGATGGAGAGAGTGGATGCTTGTGGATGTGGTGCCAATCAAGTGGACTGCTATGTTTGGATGATGTTTTGGATAAGTGCAAGATGGAAAGACTTGACAGCATGTCTCTTCTCTCAGCAATACTTAGAAGAACATTTATCGACTCATGGTCTTGTTATTTCGATCAACAACAATGTGATGTCATGGAAGTTGATGCCAACTATACACTCTCCTCAATAATTAGAATGAGGAAATGAAGAACTTTGACTGCCACAACTACTGCTGATGATGCTGACTTGTCTAGTGCACCAATGGAAGGTGATGCCATTGTGAATGCAGTTATAAAGACAGCAGATTTCAAGGATGCAATGATACTGATGAGGCACAGGCAGAGCTGAATGTCTTCACATTACCTGAGCTGAAGTGTTCAAAAGATTAGATTAATTGCATAACTATTTTCAACAGACCACCAAAACAGACAAAAAAACATTTGAGTTACTGGCAGTTTTCCAGTCTTGTAAAGAAACAACAATTGTCAAGAATGAAGCAACTGTCATTGAAAACTATTTCCAAAGGGAAGTTCTACAATAAAAGCAAGTTTCAAGATTTGGCGATTCTCATTTTAGTTTTCATTTTAAAATTGATAATTAGAGGTGCATGCAGACATCAACAAAAATTGATAATACAACTATTATCATTCAGCACACAACACGTCCGAATACTGTGTGTGTCTACCATGGGGTCCACCATCGTTTTGCATTGGTAATGTCGATGGCCTGTTATATTGACAAATTTTATGGGCCCAGAAGTATTGCCATAATATGGAATGCTGTCAATGCAATGGTGTTGATTTTCTAAAATTCATACATTTAAGAAAGGTTTCATCAGACTGGAAAGCAATAAATACAACCTCACTTCAAAAAAGGTGTGAGGCAGAAAACAGTAAATGATAGGTCAGTTAACTTGATGTTTGTCATGGAAGAAGGTATTCATACAGCCATACAGCATGGAAGCAGACCCTTCAGTCCAACTAGTCCAGACCGACCATGTTTCCAAACTAAACTAGTCCCACGTGTCTGCGTTTGGCCCATATCCCTCCAAACCTTTCCAATTCATGTACTTCTCCAAATGTCTTTTAACCATTATAACTACCTGCATACACCACTTCCTCTGGCAGTTTATTCTATACACTAACCATTCTCTTTTTAAGTTGCCTCTCATACCCTTTTTAAATCTTTCTCATCTTACCTTAAAAACATGCTCCCTAGTTTTGAAACCACCCCCTTGGAAAAAAGACCTTTGCTATTGACCTTATCTATGCCCCTTATGATTATATAAACCTTTATAAGGTCACCCCTAAACCTCCTATTCTCCAGTGAAAAAGGTTCCAGCCTATCCAGCCTATTTTTTTAATAAATCAAACCCTCCATTCCTGGCAACATCCTGGTAAATCTTTACTGCACCCTCTTGAGTTTTGTAATATCCTTCCTATAATAGGGCAACCAGAACTGTGCACAATACTCCAGAAGAGGCCTCACCAATGTCCCGTACAACCTGACATGATATCCCAACTCCTATACTCAAAGGTCTAAGCAATGAAGGCAAGCAATGTAAACACCTTCTTAA